GACAAAACAGCCACACAGCCCTCTGGGCCCACGGTCTTCTTATGGTAGGTCGCAGTCACTTTGCCAGTCTTCCGTGGCCATTGCTCTACTTACACTTTCTGCTTCTGAGGTCTGCTTATCCCAGTGGCCGGAGCACGGTTGATCTTAATAAATGTTAAGTATAAGGGGGTGAAGAAAGGGGTGGGGAAGTGGTCTCTCGGTTTCAAATGACCACCCCACTGCCCATCTGCTCAGGCCCCATCCAGTCTCTCCATTGAGGCCCAATTACATGCTTCCTCCTCTGAGATGCCCCCTTGGATTTCTCCGGGCCCTCCTTCCTTGCTCCATTTCCTGTCCATGGGTCTACCTCTCTGCCTCTCTGCTGGGCAGATGCCACAAACTCTCTGCTTTCTGGCTGGACCTCGGTGTGGGGATGCACAGAAGAGGCTTCCCCAAACCTCAGCCTCCCCCCTCGTGCCTGGCACATTCAGCAGCCACCACCACCTCCCCCCAGCAGTTCCGATCACGCCAACATCTGGAGCGCTGGTTGCTGGTCTGTCTGCGGCTCGGGGTGGGGATTTGCATGTGAGTACAAATATATATGCACACCCTGGGTCTTCCACCCCCACATTCCTTGGCTGGCCCTTCACACCTGGGCCTGAGACAGGTCCACTCAGTGGCTGGATTTGCATGCGCGTGTATTTCTGGGTAGGGAGTCAGCTGGGGGAGTCTGAGAGGAAGTTGTTGAGGGAAACTGGGGGTAGTTCAGACGTGTCTCTTTTAACCTGCTCCATTCACCCGATCTGCCCAACAACCCCTATATCTGATCCCGAGGCTTCCAGCCTGGATCCCAGCTCCACGGATGTACACATCCCCAGCCCCATGGGGTCAGAACTGAAGGGAAGGGTGGCAGCTGTAGAGGTCTAGACTGAGATCAGGAGGGCTTCCTGGAGGGATGGATTTAAAGCACACACACTATATTTAAAATATGTTTTTATTGATTTGAGAGAGAGAGAAAGGGACAGGGAGAGAGAAACAACAACCCGCTGCTTCCTGCGTGCCCCCTACTAGGGATCAAGCCTGAAACCCCAACCAGGAATCAAACCAGCCACCTTTGGTTCATGGGATTATGCTCAACCAGCTGCGCCACACAGGCCAGGGGGAGGGATGGATTTTTTGAGCTGGGTTTTGAAGCGTGAATAAGAGTTGTTGAAGGTAGAGAACGGTGGGCAGGGATTGGCTGGGGCAGGGCCTTGAATGCCAGGCTGGGAACTGAAACTTTCTCCTGATGGTAGTAGGGAGCCATGAAGAGTGTGTGAGCAGGGAGGGTCATGACCAAAGCTTTGTGTTGGGTTGGTCCCTCAAGGGCCAAAGCTGGGGATGACTGTAGTTCCTGTGTGGGGATTGGGAGTTCCAGGGTCACTGAAGGTTAGAAGAGTGTGAGCCCATCTGTGCCTGTTGGGCCGGGCCCCGGGGAAGGCAGAGGATGTGGGACCTTCTGAAGGACCCAAAGAGACCTGGGATACCGTGACTTCCCCCCGTCTCTGCCCAGATGGATGCGGCTCTGGCCTTTTCTCCAGTATCCGGCCACCCCCCAGCATGGACAGGTTTTTCAATGATAACTCAAACTCCAACCTTCTTTCTCAAACCCTCCCATGGCTCTCCGTTGCTCTTAGACCCAAACTCACAGCCTTTCCCACAGCTCAGAGGACCCAGCGTGGCCCTGCTTCTCAGGCCTCTCCCTCAAGCTCCTCCGTCCAGCCTTGTTGCTGTGTCTTGTCCCGCCTCAGGGCCTTTGCACCTGCTGTCCCTCTGGCTGGAACTCACTTCCTGTCTCGGCTCTTGGGTCTCAGTTCCGAGAGACCCTCCTGACCTTTTGGCTCTTGCTTGCGGCTCCCCCATTATGTGACCCCTGCCCTAGCAGGGATGTCCTTGTCTAAAATGGGGACAGACTGAGAAGGGGCTGGAGTCAGATATTCCAGGCTCAGATTCTCAGGTTCAAGTCCCATGTTCCCATGGGACCCCAGGCGTGGGGGGCATTTCCGGAGTCATCTTGGCACCGGGACCTCCGGACCAGTGCCCCACTTCTGTCCCGGGGGATCCATCAGGGCCAGGGCAACACATCCCAGCCGTGGGAACGAGTCTGATTCTAGCCAGGGATTAAAATTAGCCCCCGAGGTTAAATTTAGCAAGTCAATCCGGAGCTAGGGGGTTGGTGGGGCTCTCATCGGCTGGGCTCTGCATAGTTGCGACTGCTCAGAGACCCAGCCCAGAGAGGGTAGAGGACACTCCTGGGGCCACACAGAGGGCCACTTATGATGGCCAAGGCATCTTACACTCCTGGGCCCTGGGCCTCTGGGATGAAGGGGGTCCCACCCAGACCCCTCAGGCGGAGGTCAGAGAAGCAGCTATGGCTACTCGTGGAGACAGACCTCATTTCTCTACGCTTCCCCAGGGCTTGTTTCCAGGTCTGTGCCAGGTGCTCTGCATGCCATACCCACCCCATTCACAGAACAGCAATCTGAGCCCAGGGGAGGCCCCCTTGGCTGAGGGCTGCCCAGGGGGTCAGAGACTGGCTGGGATCTGAGCGCTGGCCCCCTTACCCTGGGCAGCCTGTGACATTGCCGCAGGCACCTGTGACATGGGAGTGGCTGGGGGTCACGTGTGGTCACAGAGGAGTGGAGGGGTGTCAGGGATCCGGGGCCTTGGGGTGGCTGACTGTACAGCGTGGCGGGGCCTCACGACAGGTTTCTTCGTTCCAAGGATCCCTGCATGGGGGCACAGGGAAGGCCTGGACCCCAACATGCTGCTTGTCTTGGGGACATGCTGTCCTCCCTGAGTTGCCCACTCTCACTTTTTGGGGCTCACACTGGGGAGATCTGAGATCCCCGGGAGGAGGGTCCAGGGTGTCGCCCAAGTTGCCCTGGGCCCAAATCGGGGTCTGAGGGCTCCAAGCCTAAGGTCTTTCCAGGGCAGGGGTGGGCAACCTTTTTGTGAGTGCGTGCCAAAACCAGCAAAATCTCTGACTCAAAATTCTTCTGCGTGCCAACCTTAATTTTTTGAGAACATGTTACGCCTACTTGATATCTCTTAAGGTGTACGTATGTGAAGAACCTTGAAGAAATAATAAAATTCATTCAAGCGACAAAAACACAGTATATGATGATGAAAAATACATTTATTTTTTAATGTATACATGTACACTGATAGTCCGACAGAAAACTTTATGACTCCGTTTGATATTATCAGTGGGACTTCTGCTGCTGCATCACTGATGACAGAGATTTTACATCAGGTTTATATTTCGTGACCTTAAGAGATATGCAGGAGCTACTACTTTCATCTGTCAGGCTACTCCTATTATGAGACTTAACAAAATTCATCACTGAGAACAAAGATTCACAAGCGTATGTGGATGAAACCAAAACACTGGTCGGATCTAGGAAGGCAGGGAGAGTTAAGGCAGAGGCATAGAAATTGCTCTTCCCCTCTCTTGTCAATCCATGTCTATGGTCTTTAAGATAACTTGTTATGTAAAATTATTTATTTATCTAAGATGCACCTACACTGAATTTATCTGAAAAATAAAAAAGTCAAAAAAAGAAAAAAAATTGTAAATGGAAGATTATAAGAGAGGGTTTCGCGTGCCAGCAAAAGTTACTGGCGTGCCATGTTTGGCACGCGTGCCAGGGGTTGCCCACCCCTGTTCCAGGGCATCCTTACTTCCTCCTGGTAGAAAGTGGGGCAGGGGTGGGTTTTTGTTATTTAAAGTATTTTTATTTTTTAATTAAAAATTCTTTAAAAATAGAAATAGTCCATAATCACTGAGGGGAAAGTTGGAAAGTTCAGAAAATCAAAAAAGGGGCAGGGGGAGAAGACACGAAAGGCCACACATTGTATGATTCATTTACATAAAATGTCCAGAACAGGCAAAGCCATGGAGACAGAAAGCAGGTCAGTGGTTGCCAGGGGTCAGGGGAGGGGATGGGGAGTGACTACTCATGGGAATGGGTCCCTTTCTGGGGGGATGAAAATTTCTGGAACTAGATAGAGGTGATGGTTCTACATTGTGAATAACTAACTGTCGCTGAATTGTGCACTTTATTTTTTAAAATATATTTTTATTGATTTCAGAGAGGAAGGGAGAGGGAGAGAGAGACAGAAACATCAATGATGAGAATCATTGATCAGCTGCCTCCTGCAC